TGAGCATCCTTATAACCATTGTTTTGAACTCTGTCTCTGGTAGGTCGCTTGCCTCCATTTCATTTATTTCTTTTTCTGGAGTTTTCTCCTGTCCTTTCATTTGGGATGCATTTCTTCATTTCCTCATTTGGCTGCCTCTCTGTGTTTGTTTTTATGTATTAGGTAGACCTGCTATGTCTCCCAGTCTTGTTCAGGTAGCCTTATGTAGTAGGTGTCCTGTGAGGCCCAGTGGCACAGTCTCCCTAGCCACCTGAGCCAGGTGCTCCAGGAATGTCCCTTGTGTGGGTTGCGTGTGCTTTCCGGTTATAATTGAGCGTTGATTGCTATTGGCACATCAGTGGGTGGAATTGACCCTCAGGCTGACTGGCTGTGGAGTCTGGCCACATTTATAGCTTATGGGCTGCTGTGCAGAAGGCTTACCCCACTGAGTGGGATTCACTCCAGTGGCCCCTGGTGCCATTGTGTGTGCAACTTGTGGGGCTAATTTGGTGGTACTCTCCTGTGGTCTGAAGTCAACCTCCAAATATGTTGGTTCTGGGGCCTCTTGTGGGGGACTCTAGTGCAGGTCCAGGTCAGCCACGGCTTGTGACTGGCCAGAGTCTACCTGGTGGAAGCTACAAAGTTATCCACATTTGTTTGCTGCCTGTACTAAACCTGGAGGCACATGGGAGAGGCCATGCTGCAAACAGCAGACAGTTGTTACCAGTACCAGGCCTGGGGTAACTCTGCAAAAAGCTGGGACACCTGGAGACCTGCTGTCACCTCCAGCTCCCTTCAGGTTCAGTCACTGATAAAGCCTCGTGTGGTATGTGAGTTAAGTGAGCAGGGTCTCAAGGAGTCACTAAAGTGGGAAGAATTGTGGTCACCAGGTTAATGTAGACTCTGGTTTGGTGCCAGTGCTAAGCCTGGAGCGACTTGGCAAAAGTCTCAGAGCACACCGAAGTCACTGCCCTCCTGGGGCCCATGGACTCACATGAGGGGCTGGCTGCTCAAGGAGAAAGTGCCTCTGGCAGTTTGAGAGTTGAGTAGGGTGGTGTTCTAGCTGAGTCAACAGGGCAGAGCAGTGGAACTCACCAGGCCAATCAGATTTAGATTTGGCCTGTGGGGGCAGGCTCAACATTGGAAAGATGGCGCCCACCTGCTGGCTGCACAGGAAAAGGTCCCCTCACTGGGAAAATGCCAACTGTACTCTCATCCTCCCCCTGAAGCCACACTCCTCAGTTTGCCCCTGTATGCCTCCAATGCCCCCCAAGTCACCATCCCTCCGCTGGGGCCCAAGGTGAGTGCCTGCGAGCAAGTGAATCTGGGTGCAGGCTGTTTAAGAGGACATCTGGGTTACCCGTAGCCTTCCATCCCACCCAAAGGGTCAGAATCCCCACTGCTTTTCACAGCCAGAGGTTGCAGGGGCTTCTGTTCCCTGCACCAGTACTCAGGGCTCAAGAGGCTGGTGTGGGGCTAGGGTCCCTCATTCCTCCTGGGAGAATGTCCGCAGCCGAGGTATCCTCCTGATTCTCAACCGCCACAGGGAGTGTGGGGGCCCATTCCACATCTCCACTCCTCCTACCAGTCTCAATGTGACTTCTTTATATTTTTAGTTATAGGACTTCCGTTTGGTTAGACTTCAGATGGTTCTCCAGGTTGATTGTTCTATAATTTAGTTGTAATTTTAATGTGTTCACAAAAGGACGCAAGCACAGTGTTTATCTACTCCGCCCTCTTGGATCTCCATAAGTTGTGCATTTTTAGCTAATGTAAATGTCTAAGAGTTTAGGGCTATTGGAATAGTACCAAATAACTGGAACCTGAGAAACCGCATTTTTTTCTCAAAGAAAATATTGGTTTTGAAAGGTGAAAGGTTGCTTCAATTAATAGCTGATGCTTCATCAACAACAGGATTCTATTATACCAAGAAATTTAGAGCTAAAAGAGGGAGCTTGGTTCCTATGCCAGTCCACAAAAGCTCATTTTGCTTCAGTGCTCTCATCTATTATAGCACTAATAGTAAGATTTCAGGCATCCTGGATCACCATTTGTCAGTGCATTGCAAACTGGTATTCTGGGAACAACCCCCAACTCCTACGCTCACCCCACCCGTAGAAATCACCCTAAGGTCAGTGACTTCACAGGTATTCATTGTGTAACAAGAAAAGTCATCTCAGGTAGAGATACAGGTTTA